GCCTGGTCTCTTCCTTAGCCCCGGAGGCGGGCACAGGGACCAGATCCGCGGAACAGCCTGCTGTGGTCTCTCTTCTACAAGAAAGACAACACAGGCCACGGACTGGATTAAAATGTTTGCAAACCACATTTAAAAATCCACGATAAGTAAAATAAATATAAATTAATGAGCAACACAATGCTATTTGTCACTGAACAGAAATGTGCTATCAAACCATGAGAAGACTGAGGGGGGACCTTAAATCCCTAAGTGAACTAAAGTTAAACTTAGCAGAGATGAGCACATTCCTATAAATACATCAGCTACTGAAACTGATTCAAGAGGAAATCAACAATGAACAACACGTAGAGGTGCACTAGTAGTAAAAAAGCTACTTGCATCAGGAAAGACAGCCTCGGTGGCTTTATTCAATTCTACCAAACATTCAGAGAACTTACATCAGTTAATTTACATCAATTCCATGAGGTGGGTACCAGGATTCTTACACCAAAGCCAAATTAAGCCAACACAAGGAAAGAAAACTAGACCAAAGTCTCTTGTAAATGTAGATCCAAACCCTCCATGAAATACTATCAAAGTGCATCTAACAATTTATAAAAAGAGTTAAATATAACTAAGTAGATTTAATCCCAGAAACACAAGATCTTTTAACATTTGAAAACCAATTAATGTGATACAGGATGTCAACAAATTAAGAGTCATTATTTCAGTAAGTAAAGAAAAGCATTTAACAAAATCCAACAGTCTTTCATCATAAAAACTCCACTAACTACAAATGGAAGGAAATTTTTCCCACCCTGATGAAGTACTCTCTCTCTCTCTCTCTCTCTCTCTCTCTCTCTCTCACACACACACACACACACACACACACACACACACACGAACACACGCAGAAGCAATGCATGAAATGAACTCCTGAGCTTCAGTCAACACTGCCCTGGAGCTCAGTCAGGATAATCCCACAAGAGAGAGAAATAAAAGGCATCTGGACTGGAAGGGAGCAAGTAAAACTGCTGCCTGTCTCAGTAGAATAAGCACTTGCCTGGCAAGTGCAATGGCCTGAGTTCAATCTCCAGTTCTGGGAAAAAAAAAAAAAAAAAGTCTGATTCAAAACTGCTGCCTGTGTCTGCAGATGACACGCTCCTATGTATGGAAAGGCCTAAATAACCCATTAAAACTGGTACAACTGCAAAGCTAGTCAGCAAGGCTGCCGAACACAAGATCAAAACATAGAAATCAGCCAGGTATGGTGGTGCACACCTATAATTCTAGTATTTGGGAGGATGAAACAGGAGGATCTTTATGAGTTCAAGACCAGTCTGGGTTAATCACAAGGCCAGCCTGACCTGCACAGCAAGTCCCTGTCTAAAAAAGACAAAAATAAAAACAGCAATGAAGTCAACTGCACTTCTGTACTTAAACAATTCACAAATGTAAGTAAAAACATAATTCCATTTATAATAATATCAAGATCAGTCAAAATACTTATGAGCTTTTTTGTAAAAGAAATGTAAAACTCATACTCTGAAAACCCACAAATACTGATGAAGGGAATTAAATTAAATCTTAATAAATAGAATATTTTATGTTTGTAAAACAGAGCAGTTAATTTCGTGCTGGCAATGCACCCCACATTGTTTTGCAGGCCCCATCAGAATCACGGCTGACTTCTTTGTAGAAGTTAAAAGCTGAATCTAAAATTTATGTGAAATTGCATGGCACCATTGGGAAAAAAAAAAAAAGGGAGGACTCATATTTCCTGGTTTCAGAATTTACTAGGGAACAAATTAAAACAACGCTGGTATAAGAATAAATATGTAGATGGAAGGGAGGTAACAGGTGCCACACACCGCCGAGCACCTCAGGCAACTGTGTTTGCCAAGAGTTTTGAGGCCACTGAAAGGAAAAGGATCATCTTGTAAGCAACGGTGCTGGGCTCACAAGAAGAACTGAAGTTTGGTGCTGACCTCACATCACAGAGGTAAGAAAAACTGACTCTGTGAGCCCCAGAGCCAACCGAAGAGTGAAGCTGCCACGCTGCCAGAAGAGCAGACAGAGCTAAATCATCATTTCAGATTCTTAGCTATGACACCTGAGGTCTGAGCAACAAAAGGGGAAGAACAGGTAAGTTGGATTTCATCAAAACAGAAAACTTTTGTGCTCAACAGACACTAGCAAGATAAGACAAGGTACTGGAGATCATACTGCAAAGTTCCCATCTGATAAAGAATCTGTGCCTGGAATATATAAATATTTACAGTTCTCCTGAATGCTCACATCCATTAGAGAAGGGATTTACGTGCAAGACGTTCAAATCACCCCATGGACACATTCTTGCCACACACCGTGGACACATTCTTCAATACGGGACTGCTGGATTTCGAACAAAAGTGGGACATGTTAATCATATCTTGGGACTACTAGCTGTCCTGAGATCAAAACAGACAGAATCCACCACAGGAGTCGGCCAGAGTATCATACAATCCAAGAGGCAGAGGTGGTGTGAAACTGGCCCATGCTTTGGGTGAGATGTTGATGCCATCCCAGCAGGGGTGCACCGTGTGTGGCAGCTGCTGAGGAACCGGGTACTCAGCGAGTGCTTGCTGACATGAGTCAGAAGAAAGCTGTGGATCTGCAGCAAGATGCCTCTTTAGTTCTGGGCACAGCACCCTGCCCAGCAGTGAGATGCTTCCACCATCTTTAATTGGTGGAGTGACTGTCTTCAGAGGTCAGTCCATGGTTACCACCCAGAAACACCCTGGCTGCACTGTGTGAGGTACTGTGGAGCCTCCAGCAGCCAGTGTGGAAAGGTAACCTCAGGAGCTGCTGCCAGAAGCACTGAGGCTTTTGTGGAGCTCACAGGACAGGCTTCCTGCTGAGGAGGTGGATGTGGGTCGCTTGAGGCTGGCTGTGTAGATGGCATAGGGAGGAGATGGCAGAGCTTTTAGGGCTTTCGGTAAACAGCTGCCTAGGCGCACATGCCACGGGTTCCCCAGGACTGGCATGTGGCTCTGAAGCTAAAGGAAGTGGAGCCCTGCTTCTCACAGGGACTGTCAGTTCAGCTGTTTAATGGTGGAACCAAGGGGAAGCGTAACCATTTATGTGAGGCTGACTTTGTGAAGTCATCAGAAAACTCCAGAAGGAATGGAAATGAAGCCTAAGGAAAGGGGCGCTTCCTGCCACGGAGACTGGGACAGAACTGTGCATCACTTCAGCTCGTAGATGGAGACAAGGCGGCAACATTAATTAGCAGTTTCCTTCAAGAGGTCCTATTGGACACTGGAGAAAATGTGAATATTGGTGTAGTACAAACTGAGTATGCAAATGGAAGCTCAATGTGCTGTCTTGAAGAACTTATGGAGGTGCCTGTTTACTGGACTGAAATGGTGTGAAACACTGCACCACAAAGCTAGAGTTTGATGCTGGAGCTTATTGTGAAGCAAATGGGCACACACACACTACATTGTTTCATAAAGCTGTTGAAATGAAGGTAAAACAAGTAGCAAAGAAATGAGAAAACAGTAGTGGAACAGCTGCTAAGATGCTTGAAAATATCACTGGTGGGTGTAACTGGGCAGCGAGTGAGCAGCACCGAGTCAGGGCTCGA